TGTTTCTGAGTTTATTGCAGGCAGCAACGCCAGCAACAAAATACTTCATCTAGCAGCTCAAAAGCAGCAGCAGCAGCAGCAGCAGCAGCAGCAGCAGCAGCAGCAGCAGCAGGGAGAAATAGCTCGAGTCAGAAGGATACGAAGAGACGGCTGCTGCTTCTATCGTTCTTATCTTTTTGGTGTTTTTGAGTTTTTGCTGCACAACAAAACGCAAATTCAAAAATTTAGAGAAAAAGTTAACACCGAAATTATACCCAAAATGGAGGCGACAGGGTTCGTTGCTGCTGCTGCTGCTGCTGCTGCTGCTTTTGTTGTTGCTGCTGTCTCTGTTGCTGCTTTTGTTCGTGCTGCTGCTGCTGCTGCTGTTGGCTCTGCTGCTGCTGTGGAGGTGATGCTGCTGCGAACGATATTACTTCTGCTGCAAGCAGGCGTTTGCTGCTGCTGCTGATCTTGCTGCTGCTGCTGCTGCTAAGGGTTGATGGTTTTGGTGTTTTTTTGTGTAAATTATGTGCAGATACTCGAAGGAATCCACTGAGGAGTTTCTAGATGGTGAGCAGAGGCAAGATTAGTGTTTACGGCAAAGGGTTTAGGTTCTAGGGTTTAGGGTTTAGGATCTAGGGTTTAGGGTTTAGGGTTTCTCTGCAGAGGTGTATGCGGCTCTGGATAAACTCTCAAACCCAACTGCAACTCTGAAGGATTTGGAAAACATATTCAATGACCCCTCGATCTCTAATTACCTCGTCGTATTCGCCAGGTGTATAGGCACTGAGGTGTACATACACCTGAAACAGCGATATATAAATATTAATATTAAAGGCCTATTGGTGCTAATAAAAGTAAAAATAATATTAATATTAATAAAAATAATAATAATAATAATAATAATTATATTTATAGTAATTATATACTGCAGCACCATACACCCCAGAAGGAATTTTTTTTTTTTTTTTTTTTTTTTTTTTTTTTTTTTTTTTTTTTTTTTTTTTTTTTTTTTTTTTTTT